CCGTTTTCGTCTGTCTTTTTATCGTTGAGTTCCTATTAATGAGATCTTCAACTCTCATTTAGGTCTCATAGGCCAAAAACCGCTCGAACTAAAATTCGAGTTTCGGGCCGTGCACTGCTATGCCAAATCTTAGAAAATTTATAACTTCCTCATACGAAGTCAGATTTGGGCGTTCTTTTTTTTTTGTATGTTCTCGGTTTAACGTATACTACAACTTTTGTTTAGATCACTAATGCTAAAAAGTCCTTTATCAAAAAATCACTATTTACGTCTCCTGGTATCGTGTCGGTTTTGCCGTAAAACTTCGACGGACCATATCTTCTTCGTTAGAATTCGGATTCCGGCGTTCTTTATATGTACGGAACCCTTGAGACATATTCTACAACTTGGTTAAGATTATTTATTCTAAATAATCTTTTGTCGAAAAGTCATTTTCGACCCCTATTATCTCTAAATTGACTAGCTCGGATCTACGGGCGTTACACACAGGTGCTCCCCAAGAACAGGCAGTGTACCGCCTTCAGAACTCAAAAGCGGTAATAATAGTTGGTGTGTACGTAGATGACTTGATTGTTACAGGTACGAGTGAAGAAAAGATAGCTGAATTCAAGAATCAAATGAAGAAAGTATTCATTATGAGTGACTTGGGGTTGCTAACCTACTATCTTGGAATTGAGGTGAAACAAAGTAAAAAAGGTATAACAATCAGTCAAATGGGATATGCAAAGAAATTGCTAACAGTAGCAGGTATGGCAGATTGCAATGAGGCAAAATATTCAATGGAACCAAAACTAAGCTTAGCTAAGAATGAAGAGGGAGCAACAGTGGATGCTACAAAATTTTGGAGTCTCATTGGGAGCTTATGTTACCTGATACACACAAGGCCAGATCTTAGTTACTCAGTTGGGGTGGTCAGTCGATACATAGAGTCTATAAAATGCAATCAGTTTGTAGTTTGTTTTGTGTGTGTCAAATAAAGAAATTCAGCAAAAATAATTTCTGTGTGCATGCCCCTGTAACAGATTTGTGCAGTTTTTTTTGTGATATTTTGTAGCCTGATAACCAACAAAATGAATAGTCACAAATATAAAATATAAGATTTACATATCGAATTCATATAAATTTGTGAATATGTTTTAAAATCTAAGAAGTTGAAGGGTGCTTTTGACAATTTTTATAAGTTAAAAAAAGAACATATTATGGAACATGCCTTTAGGAGATGGTCTAACGGAGCTCAATATGGATGAAAGATCATGTGGGAAAGAAGAATAGGTGCACCAATACATACCTTATGTAATAGATCCAGACATAATGTTTTTTTATGAAATGAACAGATCCAAATTTTTGATGATTATAACAATGCGGACCTTATGTACACATCCCCATCAACATTGTAGATTTAACAAAAATGAGAAGACCTTATGTAGCAGAAGCTCAAATCCTGAGGATATAAAATTAGATATCCCTAGCGAGATGTAGTGAAAGTAGGAGAAGCTCATGAGAGATTAAGACAAAAAAGGATTTAGCAATACATATTTTGATTTCTCCCGATTTGGACCAAAAATCACAAATTACGATGCAAAAAACAATTTATCCTTTTTTTTCATTTTTCATTCCTTAAGGATATCAGACTTTTCTCTTCTCCCTTCTTCACGACGTCCCATTAATAGTGGTGCAAAGATGGTGTTGAGGTTGTGGAGAGAGAAAACGAAATGGATGAGGAATGGCATGGTTCTCCAAAGCAGATTAAAGAGACTGGACATGCGTAATTGAGTCTTCATCGATCAACTATCTAATCTTGTATTGTGAATTAAGCTAAATTAGTGATGATCCAAACAAACACGAAGTTAGCGAATCATCTACGTCAATTAATGTATTCATGAATTCCACATCAACAATAGTTAAGCCTCTTCACCAAGGAAGTAATCAACACCTTACTCGAACATTCTACATGAATGATAGTTACTCAATCAAAGCGGATAAGTACAAAATCAATCTAAACATATAAATTCTAAGACCTAATTGAATGTATATTTAAATCACATCAAACTTTAGGGCATCGAGAGTAGTCGTAAGAAAAAACCAAATAATGATCATAAGAAGAGGAAGAAGAAGCAACTGAAAAATTAACCTGTAAAACTGTAGTTAATTACCTTGACGAATGCAGAATCAACTAGAAGTTCTTCAAGATCTTCGATTTCTATGAGTGCATTACCTACCACAGGCGGGCGTCTCAATCGTCTTCTTCAAAACTGATATCCGGGAGGTTCATGTGAAGGGGAAGCTGTGGCATCAAGACTTGAGAGAACCGAGATACGAAGATAGTGGTAATGCGGGACTGTAAGAGTAGGAGGACATGGAACGACATCGTTTAGCGAGGTCAAAATAAGCAAGTATCTGTCAAAATTTGAGCCCAACGGAAGCCCTTGCAATACAACAAAATTTTATATCCAGTCCAATGGATGGGCCGATTAGGCAACAGACTGGTTGGTACAATGTGGCTCCACAAGAGGAAAACGGATCATCCGACATACCAACACCTGACCCACCAGATAAGCTATGCTGATGAGAGAGAGAGAGGTGGGTGACCATATTTTATGGTCCTTAATTTTTCTTTCATTTTGTAATTTAGTGAGTATATTGTGTCGTCATAGTGTTTCCATTTGATGTTTAGGGTGTTCGAATAACGAAAAGTAGTTGTAATCATTATTTTTGGTACTAAACCTTCAAGTGACCATTATGTTTAGTTATTAGCCTCCAACACAATGACCATATTTTCACTCACTAATATTTGTTACAATATTAAACAAGTTGAAACGGACAATGACTAGTAAATGATGACCCTTATAGTATCGGTCACTAAACTTGTAGCATTACCAAAATTCAGTAACGATTTAATATTTGGAATTAGGTGGTAACTAAAAATGATTTTTCTTTATAGTTAAAAGAGCATATCTAGATGAATAACCCAAAAGAATCACAAGTAACGAAGTTCCAACCCAACCACTCTGACAACCTCTAGGAGTGTCGTTACTTGATGAAGATGATCAATGGTATGAAGATATTCCATTTGAAAAAAAATATATAAAGTGTCAAAATCGAAGAATAAAAGTGTCAAAAATCACTGGCAATTAGAAAGTTCAGTAAGATCAGCATTATAAAATAATTGATAAAGTGGTGTTCGATTTTGAAAAAGTTGAAAATATTATGTTTTATTTGGAAAAAAAGTAGCGCAGTGTAAAAAATGAAAAAAAGGATAATATAGTGACTTCCGAACCATTTACCCTTACGGATCAAGGATCGTTTATGGGGAAATTGATATAAGCATTCTTTTCAAAGATTAATAATATTACATTTATTTATTAAATATTTATTCATTTTTATTTCTTTAAATTTGGTAATGTTGCCAATAAAAATATTTGATTTTTAGAAGTAAGGGTAGGAAAATAGAATATTGATTGTTTACGTATCGTGTAAGGTCATTTTTATATTGATATTCCTCTTATATGTCTTGATTAACAGGAAAATTCAATGTAGGATAATTTGTGGTGAACAATCAAAGTTTTAGGCACAATGTTATATTTCAGACTTGATAGACAAACAATGTGCCGATTAGTATTGTGAACTAATATCAAATCGTAAGTAATATCGAACACAAACAATACGAAAATCAATATTAAGAATTATCTGTCGAATCATCGCAAATAATAAATCAAATTATTATTACTTAATTACCAAGTTCCCTTAGAAATCAGATTCATCATTTGCAATCAAATATGATCATAAAAATGTAGAATAAGATTGTCTCGTTGTTTGAAGAATTAAAATACGAGACAAAAAAAATTTAAAACCAACCTGAAGATCGATGATTTTCGTACTGTTGAGAGTACATGGAATGACCCATGTCTTTAAAGGTTTTTAAGTCGCTAAATGAATGTAAGCTTCAACATAAAATCTAGAACTTATTAGAGATTTATCGTTCGTTCCAACAACAAACGGATAAACTTAATACTCGAAAACTCGAAGTATGCAGAGGCATAGTAAGAGAAGAGAGAGTAGATCTCAATTTTTTTTGGGGTGTGGAATAAATAGGACACGAGAAGTCCTATTTATACTGATTCGGAAAACCCAGAGGTCCCCAAAAATCAAACTAATGACGACAACAACCTTATGACAATGTGTCATGTTTAACAATTTTACCAGATAAAAAACCCTAAAAACCCAAAGCTTATTCGATTATAAACATAGTGTTTATCTAATTTTGAAGAATTCTGAAAATATTCCATGTATCTATCTACAAAGTCAACGCGTGGTCAACACACATCCTTGGTCGGTCCAATCCGAGCCCTACTAAAAATAAAATCTCATCAGATCACAACCAACGATACACCATGCAAAGTGTAAAGTGCACCTAAATCTTTTTCCTATTTCATGAACATCGTGTCTCGCGTGCTCGACCAAGTTAAGTGCACGTGTTTGCTTAACCTAGCTAGGTCTGCATGTGGGGTTGGTAACTACATTCTTTAGAGAATACTAAACACTTCAAATGCAATTGATTAAAGCTAAGGAGGCTTTGATGTACGTTAATTTGAAAGAGCTTTAGAACTTAGTACATTCCCTAGTTATTTTTTTTTGTTAATTAGTGCTTTGAAAACAATATTGACTTAGCTTACTTTTTTCCCATGTTTTCCTACCGCTTTTGGATGGATATCCTTTCTTCTTTACTCACCATTTTTACGAAGATTGGGCTCAAGATAATTAGTATATATTGATATAATCAAGTTCAAGTTTTTAACTAGTGAAACCCACTATCAATAACACCCCACCACCATTCAACAATACATCATCAAAACCAAACCTACAACCTAAAATATTAAATGATATTTATTAAACGGAGAAAAATAAGTCTTAAGCCTTGCTTTGACAAATAATTTTTCAAACTAATTGATTAAAAATCCTAAAAAGAAAAGGTATATAGCTGGTAATACCACGTCTACATAATGGGCGAACAGTCAAGATTTCTATCCTAAAATCCACCAAATCTCTGTACCCGGTGGAACAATTTCTCTCACACACAGTCTGCACGGCGGACGGAGCGTTTCAGATAACGGCAGACACGGCGGCGCCACCATGGAAAAGCTTATCCACAACCCCAACCACCATATCCTTTCGAAGCATCAGCTCTACCTAAAGCCCCGTCCATTTCTTCCCCAACTCGCCCGATTCCAAACCACTAAACTCTTCAATCTCTCCCACTACACCCTCCGAGTCAACTCAATCTCTTGCAAACATGAACAGAATCCGTCATTTAATTCTTCATCGCCAGTCATCAAAACGCCAGAAACAGATTTGTCTTTTTCGGAAAATAAGGGTTCTGTTATGCCCAAACCCCATTTCCTGCAGCAATTGTCGCAGACATTTTCTCATCAACAGAAGGTAATTATTATTCTCGAACGCAAAATTTCTTTATCTTAACGATGATTGGTAACTTGAATTGTTGGTTCGGGTCTTACATATGCTAAGTTTTGTTGGATTATATATTTAGGGTTTTGAATCTGCTTTGTTATATGCTTGATTTGATCTGAATTTTATTGGTAAAATATTGATTCGAATCGTGATTCTCTGTGAAAAGTTACTTTTTGCCTTTTGGTTCTTTTTAATCAGAATAGTATCGGAAATTTTCTCCGATTCCTTGATATTAATCCAAATCACACCCCAAATTCTAAGTACGCAGATCTTTACGGTGTTCTTAGGATGACGAATTCAGCATTTGGCTTTGCTAATTTTAGCTCTAAAATCAATAAGAATCATATTCGTTGTAGATTAAAGAATGTTTATTATGTTTACCGTGACAACTACTGAAAGGCCAAAAGTATTTATGTCGATATGATAAGACCAAGAAGAACAATTATTGAGCCTCTAAGTCAAAAATGGAGTCTTATCATGGGTGGCATGAACAATAGGACGGACGAGAGAGAGAGAAGAGGGGGGGGGGGTAGGGACATGTGCTAATAATATATAGGGAATGACTCAAATTATTATTTCCAAAAGAGTTGTAAAGAATTATAAATTAAAAGTGTTATTTGTAGTGGGAATTGAATATTTTAATTTTAAAAGGTCAATAGTGTTGGAAGTTTAAATTATTTATGATTCAAAAGGTTATTTGCAGTGTTTTTAGAATAAAAAAGTCAGCATTTGACTTTTTAAGTGTCAAATGAACCATGCCCATTAACTGTGAAAGACAATAAGAATCACATTCTTTGTTGATTATTAGATAGATATCACATTAGGCTCTAATAAAATCAAAAAATCAGAAATCATTTACTTGATTATATAGTTTCAGAAGTAGAATGAATGCTTGAGTTTCCAAAGTGTTCCCTTGTTTTGGGACGAATGAAGTGTATGACTAGTTTATTCATGTAAATGCCTCAATTGCATTGTTTTTAGTGTAATAAACAGTTTTTGAAGTTGTTACACGCATTATATCAATGTACATTCATTTATTTGTCTATTACAACATTCTACTTTCATTTCCTTGTTTCAACATTTTACTTTGAAAGCTCTACCCAATTATAGCAATATCATCCAAATGCAAAGCAATTTTCACTTCTAAAGTTGGGTATATTTTTCAAATTACAATGCCTTCATAAGAAATAAGTTGATAGCATAATGTTGTAATAGATAAAAGTGAAATGAGGATGTTATAATAAACGAATAAATGTAAGTATGCTACTATTTGTTGCATTTAACCTTCTTTTCCTTTCAAGTAGTGTTGCCATTTTAAAGTGACAAACACAGAGTTATTTGTTTTGAAGATTGATATCTTGTTAACTACCAAATTTTACCATGGTTGCTTCTTACTTGTGTTGAATCCCCATATTAGGTTCTTGAGTTTGAAAATTGATGAAATTTAAATTCAATACTTATTTATTTAGCAAGTTAATGCTAAGAGTCTAATGTAACTGTAGTATACTTGAAATAATAACACATGGGAACTTTCATAAACATTTTATCGAGGTTAAATGTTTGTGTGGTTACATAATTGCAGTGGTTTAACATGGTTTTCACACTGTTAAAACCATGGGTTATAAACACAAAGTCACTTCTAAACAATATAAATTGGGTTATAAAATAATATATTGAATTATTGATTACTCTGTGATTTTATAAGAAAAAGGATAATGAAAAGTGTTGGCAGGTCAACTTGACCCATTTTGATCCTTCCAATAAAAACCCATTTTATTCTCTATCCAATGATTCCAGTCCCCATTCCTGCCTGTTTTGCCATCTCATTTTTCTTGTACTTGTCATCTTTTGAATCTAACTGTCAAAATATGCTAAAAAATTAATAATTGTAATTTATTTTCTTGTAGATCATTAAAAGTACAATGCTATAAAAAACTTAAATTAGAATTCTCTAATAGAAAAAAATGGAAGTAGGATGCTATAATAAATGAAAGTACATTACTATTTCCGTATTTTGTGCATTTATTACTAATAATGTAAAGTCGTTATCTTGATTTGTATTATCCATTAACATTTATCAACAATTTTCAGGCGGTTATCACGGGATCAATAATTCTACTCTCGGCTCTAATCTTCACAATCCAACCACTTTTCATCTCACCCGCACTCGCCTCCTTCCAAACCGCAACCAAAACCGGCTCCAACCCACTCATCCGAAGTGAGCTCCTATCAAGCGCGTGGACCGGTTTCTTCGCCGGTTGCCTCCACACCTTATCCGGTCCCGACCACCTCGCCGCCCTCGCCCCGCTCTCAATCGGCCGGTCCCGCGTCGAGAGCGCGCTTGTCGGCGCGCTCTGGGGCTGCGGGCACGATGCCGGGCAGGTCATCTTCGGCCTCCTCTTCCTCCTCCTCAAAGACCGCCTCCATATCGAAATCATACGCACTTGGGGGACGCGAGTTGTCGGTTTTACCCTTCTAGTCATCGGAGCCATGGGAATCCGTGAAGCCTCCGAAGCAGCGGTCCCCACGCCATGTGTCGCTTTGGAAAACGGAGAATGTGATGTTAGTGTTTATGACTTACCGGAGCCCACGAAGAAAAAGAAAATTGGATTTGCGACGTTTGCAACGGGTATTATCCACGGGTTGCAACCGGACGCGCTTATGATGGTTTTGCCTGCGCTCGCACTTCCGTCCCGCGTGGCGGGGGCCGCGTTTTTGGGGATGTTTTTGGTGGGGACGGTTATCGCGATGGGGAGTTATACGGTGTTTATCGGGTCGTGTAGTCAAGCGTTGAAGGATCGGATCCCGAGGATTACGGAAAAGCTGACGTGGATTTCGTCTTTAGTGGCGATTGCGTTAGGGGTTGGGATTATTGTTAGTCAGTTTTTTGGGTTTAGTTTGTATTGATTTTTGGGGGTTTTGCGATGTTTAGGGGGGATTTTTATGGACCTTTTTTTTTATGAGAATTGAGAAGCATATTGTTTGATATATTTGCGATAGTACCTCGTGCATTGATTATTGTACTTTGTCCTTTGGTCGTTGTACATCGTTCAATTATGATAGTACTGTTTTCGTATGCACGTGTTTTATGTCTGTGTGCGGTGGATTTGGTTCAATTGTCACATGGTTGCGTGTGTCTTGAGTGCATTTTGATAGACATGACAATCTTGTAGCGTATTTGTGTTTGGGGTGCGTAAGATTGGTGTAGGTAAAAAGGTGGGGTTGACACCTACTTTCGAATTCTTTTTGGTGCAAAAAACTGAACATACCTTGTAAGCTTGGGTTTGATCTCTTGTATGTAAAAAAGATGTAAATGCCTTTCTATTTCGAATTCTTGTTGATGCCATATATTCCTTACTAAAATGCAGAAATTATTACAGGGAACTCACAAAACCATCTAGTTTTACAATGTACATTTGTAGTTGTAGAATTTATTTAACATAACCATCCTGTAGTTATACAAAACAGTTTTTTTAAACTATATTTCGTGTTTATTTAAATTTAATGTTTTATACTTTTTAACTACATTTTTAATAATTGAATTAAAATTGGGTGTGGGAAGTGTCATAGGGGTGTTATTCGGTTGGTTTTTTCGGTTTAATCGGTTTTGGTTAATTCGGGTATAATTTATTCGGTTCGGTTTATCGGTTAAACTGAATAAGATTCCGTATGTAAAAATGAATATTAAACTAAAAAAAAAACTTACTAAACTTTTACAAAATGAAAAAAAATACATCAATACAAAACACATTAGATTCATTTTTTATGATATATTGTCTTGAAGTGTCAATGTAGCAATACAAGTTGTAGAAACGAGTTAATATAAATTTACTCGTATATGAAGAGAAAAGAAATGACAGAAGGTAAATTGACATTTGACTAATTAGTTGTTGCTTTTGAATACAATATATAAACAATTATTAATTTACAATTAATACTGAAATAATGAATTATCAAAATCTTTTTTAGTTATTAATCCATCAATTTAAATATAAAATGTTAATTTATAGATATAAATATAAAAATATATATTAATTAAATAGGTTATTCGGTTTAACCAAAATAATGAAATTTAAAGAAAACCAAACCAAATAAGGTATCCTTATTCGCAGTGGCGAATCTAGAACCAAAAACCTCGTGTTTCCTTATGTAATGAAACTAAAAAAATAAAAGAGTAAAAACTACTAATGGTGTCGGTTCGGGTCGTATACCTTAAAATAGTTAAACATAACATCAATATTTACAGCAAAGTTTTACATCTGAACCCTACCAAGTCTTATATCTTGAAATATATTCATAATTATATCGTTATCGATACTTTCTAAAACACTTTTTTCAATATATAACATTAAACTATCATTCAAAAATTAAAATATATAAAATATGGGCAAGAGACGGTTGTTGGAGGATATTTGACTATGGTGATGGTGGAGAACCAGATTTCTCTTGGATCGTGTAAGTTCACTTTCCAAACTGATATTTCCATCCTATGCCCGGGTTATAGGAAATCCAGCCTAAGATAATCCAAAAGGACACTTGTGTATCTAGGCACAAAAACACAAGCCAAATCGCCAGAAGGTTCTGAATTCGTACAAAAGAAGTAGAGATGAGAAGGGTCTCTTACGACTCAATTAAGGAGTCGTATTTATGCTAGACAAATTAGAGTTTTCGTCTTTTATATTAGTTAGGAGAATCACGAATTTAATGACATAATCAATGGTTATCAAAATTGATAAGATTTATCAATTTTTCCATAATCACCAATTAGAATTCAGTTTTTCAATAATGTAACTAATTCAATTTTCCAAAGACCTTTTGGGGCGCTGTCCCAAACCCCGCTAGGGAGCTACCCCTATGACCCTACAAGGGGGCGCGACCCCCTTGACCCCCACATTTATGTCGTACCAACTTATAATTCGATCTTATATATGTATGCACTCTGCATACTCTCATATATATATATATATATATATATATATATATATATATATATATATATATATATAGTACAAATGATAAACCTCTTAACTCACATATTAGTTCCAGTTACATAAAATGCCTAGTGACCAACAACGGTGACACCCGGTGGATGGGCGACGGTGGTCGGTGGCCTGGCTGGACGAAGGACAATTGGATCAATCGATCAGGCATGCGAGAATGTGATGAGGCGTCAAATGTTAGGAGATGTCGATTAGTGATCACGTTTCGTGAGGGTTTTTTTTTTTTTTTTTTTTTTTTTTTTTTTTTTTTAATTTATGGATTGAACTATTGCCTAATGAATAAATTTTAAATGGATTGAAGCAAGTACTAAGTGGATTAGAATATATAAAATTTAGGTTGATATATTTTTTTGCCAAAGATTACAAGGTAGGTCTATAAAAATAATTAGATACATCACCAAATTTTTTATATATATCATATACTAAATACTATTATTAAGAAAAATAGGTAGGGCGTAGGACCTACCAACTTTCAATGTAGCTACGCTCCTGCTTATCCGGTTTAACCAAACCGAATTAATCAAATAACCAAATAACCAAATAACCCAAACCAAATAAACCAAACACTTTGGTTTGGTTCGGTTCGGTTATTCGGTTACGGTCACATCCCTAGGAAGTAAGGGTACAAGGGAAGGAATATATTATTTCCATGTGATTTGGGATATTTAGGAAATAAAGAGATTAGAAAAAATTGAAGCGACATGTGAAAGGGAGGACAACCCTAATATGTCATGGGACCTGTGCATAACATGGACAAAAAGACCACTTTCGGATCTATCTAAAAAAAGATTGGACCGCTACAAGACCGGTCAAATAAAATAGGAGTTAAAGTTCATATTATCATCATATACATATCATTTTTGTGTTAAATATACATTAACCAATTTTTTTCATTATTTCGTTTATTAGTTATTAATGTATAATTTGTTAGTAGATCTTCAAGTATCTTAATCACACGTTAACAAATGGAAAAACCTGAAATTGAAACCAAAAACAAAAAAAACTGAAATCAAACTGAAAAACCATGAAAACTTAATTGAAAAAGGTGCAAGTAAAAACCGCGAGACCAGATTAAAAAAAAAAATAGAGCCTGCCATTCTGAAAAAGAAAAAAGACGAGATGTTATGAGACAGTCGATATGCACGTCTACTTGTGCCATGCATATTGTTGGTGATTTGTTATCATCAATATTATTTAAGTGTAATGAGATTACTTTGTTGACCAAAAGTGATCTTGATAAATATTAAACAAGTAAGGAAGGTGTGGGGTACACACTTGTTTAAGTTTGATCAAGTTTCAAAGTACACTGTTATTTAGGGGCGAAGCCCCTAAACGAATGAGGGTCCGGGGGCAGCGCCCCTGAGAGCGGGGTCCAAGGGGCAGCAACCCCTGGCAGGGTCCAAGGGGCAGAGCCCCTGGCTGGGGTATGTTACTATATTAAAAATGCATTAGAAAATCGGATTTTCAGAGAATTGACCATTGTTTGACCCTTATCCAAACTTCCGTTTTTATGTCAGTTTTTATAGTTTTATGACAGTTTGAAACTGTCATATGACAGTTTTCAGACAAAGATCATAAAGTCGGTTTTGGTCTGATTTCTGGTACATACGAAACTATCATAAAAACATTCTAAGTTCTTGTCTCTCTGAGTCTTATCCGATTAAAAAATATTGAGAGTACCACCCAAATGCTTTAATCTGAAAGTGTTTAACACAATTCTCAGAATTCCAAGCCTTTCTATACCCCAATTTCTAACACATATGATGCTTTTTTCTTATATCAAGACAATAGTTAGTACATAGTAGACATAAAAAGTTAAAAAACAAGTGGAATAAGATTAGAAATTAGGTTAATTACAACAAAGAGAAGCACCCTTGCCGATTTCTATTGTCAACTTTTATGAACTTAACTAAATGCATCTTTTTTATATTTAAACAATTACTATGCAAATGAGCTAAAATTTGAGTCCCAAATTTTACGAGGCCCTATACGGTCGCATAACAGGCACACTTTTATAATTATTTAATGTGCAGTATGTTTAAGAATTTTAAAAATTATAACACGAGATTAACAAAACCTTCTTGTAGGTAACATAACGTGCAATTTGGACATGAAATGCACAAACTGGATATCTTGTAGTTGGATAATGTGCAATTTGTCATTCACGGTTTAAATTATTTAATTTTCGTTTATGTTTAAATTTTTTATTATCTTGTGTGACACAAAGAATATTACAAAGGAATAGATACAAACAATATGATCTTTCATTGTCGGATGATGACTTTGTCACTCCACCTACACATATAATATGACGAGAAAGAAAAGTTGTGCATGAAAGACGACACAAGAAAAGCAAAAAATCATGGTAAGGGTGCTGTCAACAGGATCCAAACAAAGAAGATGTATGTACATAAACTGTGTATTAAGTTTGACGTATATTGAACTGAGACTGATGTATATTGAACCGAAACTGATATTGATACTGATGTCAACAATGCGGATATAATAATAGTTTACTGTATATTGTATATTGAACCCAAAAAGACGAAATGGGAAGAAGAGGCGGTCTCTATCTTTCCTCTATTCAAAAGACATATATGCCCTCCACGTACTTATCATCGAAAACGTCTTGAAACACCTATCTGGTCTACATAGTGGTCCAATCTTATTCAATTATATGTGTAGTGTAATAAACAAACCTTAATTAATTCCTTTAAATAGTGCACAAAAGTATGTTGTAGTTTGAGAAGATTCTTAATATATATCGTTTGAAGAATATCCAACAAGGATGAAATATTGGTAAGACTTTTTCATGATCGAATGTGCAAAATGGACTATTCAATTATGGATTTTATGTATGAGTTTCTCAAATTGATTTCTACTTGTCTGCCATGAAATAAATATTATGTAATTCAGAAAGTTTTTCATAACACCATAAATAACGGAAATGGACACTAAAACACACAATTAACCAAATAAAACCCACATAATAACTATCGACAAATTTGTG